GTGTAGTTCATTCTTTTGTAAAGTCTTTAACAAAGCAGAAGAGGAAGTTGGGTGATGAATCAGTGAATGAATCAGCTGTAGTGCCAAATCACAACATGGGTCATGAAGAAGAGTATCAGACTATGACAGTGGTCATGCACTGAGACAAATCCATCAGTATTAGCTGGTTTTATGCCATAGAAGCTGCAAATTAATGACATAATTAATATCGCAAACTTAACATGTTGTAATACAAACTTTGTGAAACACATTAGGACTGGTGAGTCCCAAATATTGGGTGACAAGAGAGGGAAAGAGATGCTAGTTTGTTTGTTTTTTACCACTTCCAGATTAGCTTTACCAGCAAGAGAGCACCAGCTGGTAGTTAACCTCATTCACATATACCAGTGATTGACTTGGTTGCCATTATCTGTAAATATGGGCCAGAAGTGGGTTGATTTGTTAAATGACTTAACAAATAAGACTGTTTTATAATATCTATTTCTCCATAGTTATTTATGTTTACAAATGATCAGTGGAAACATTCTAATAAATTAAAGTAACAAAATTATTATATAAATCCAGGTAAGTGAAAGGGAAAGGGAAAGTTTGCCTTTGCAAATGAAAAGCTATACTTGAAGTGTGAACATAAAGCACTAAACTCAGTTGTCATTACTTTGCATGGTTGTCATGAAATGAGAGTGCGAGAAAACAGAGCTTGCAAGGCGAACACATGCTAGCATGGAAGGGGACAGGTGTGAGCATGAATGGATGAGGAGCAGCAGTCAGCAGTGGGACAGGTGGTTGTAGGAAAAGAAGTGTGTTTGTGTCAATCTAGTAAATGACTTCATTATTTATTTATTTATTTATTTATTTATTTATTTATTTATTTTGTACTCGCAAATGCTCAGTTGACCTTATAAAAATCATGTTCTGCTGGTGTTTTACCATCAAAAAGGCACAAACATGTTTTGCACAGCAGCAAAGGCAAAAATATTTTTCCCCAGGCTGAACTTGTGGTACTATATTAAACAGCAATGGAGTGAGTCTGAAGTGTAGCTCTCTGTGTGCGCTTATTCACTCTGAATACCAAAGAGATAATAAAGCAGAGTGCCCAAAATTTCCCCAAATTTTAGACAGTGACTCCAGGCTCTTTAGTTTCCTTTAGCATATTTTGGCTTCTATTTTTGCCCTTTAAAATCAGATGAGTTTCACCCAAAGCAGCTGTCATGAGTTCTACATGGTGAATTGGCTGTCAGGCACACCAAATGCCTCTCTGTGAGATGCCAACTGTGGGCGTCTGAGATACGCTGATTATTCTGTCTGACGCTTGTTGAGTCAATCTGTCTCAGCCTTCAGACGTTATGGCCGTTTGGTCGCTTCGGCCTGGAACAGCCAGACATTGGTCACTGTTATCGCTCCATTTTGTCATTGTTATCAGTGTTGTATTTGCCATGACCACATTTGTTTATTGCTAAAAATGTACTTGTAAAATGCTATAACATTTATTGCTCTTTACAAAAAGCACGCAAAGTTATAATTTCCGAAATGCAAATTATATGTAGGCTTTTCTGGAAATTGCTTTGGAAATGTATGAGTCCTTTCGTTCCTCCGTGCATGCTCAGACACCAGTGTAGACAGAGGAAGAGAGACATAGCAGTTAGGGTCACTGCTGTTATCACCACTGGGATGAAACCATGGCAACCGTGCTTTGGACCTAATAACCATTACTGCCTGTTACTGCGACCCCCTACTCTCACCTTTACCCCATTTTAGTGAAGCGCCTCTGTGCATCATTTCTATTATCAAATTGGTGAGTCTAACGTTCTTCAACTAAAATATTGCAGTCTAAAGAAAGACAACAACAAACATGCAGCCTGCAGACACGTAACAATAATTATTTGCACAGCCCTAGCTTTTTGTTATAGCTCGTTATTTGTCAGTCTTTCAGACTATGCGGCTATCTGTTTAAAACCAGATGTGAGAAATGCACTGAACATCTGTCACCCCATCCTCTGTATACCTTCCTGTGTGAAGCGGCAGTTCTCTCTCTCTTCATCAATCCAAACAGCTGACAAAGGTTGTCAGAGCTGCTGCTACAGTTTTGAATTCATCAGCTGAATGTAGCTGGTTGATTATTTTGGAAATGTTTCAAAGCAGCAACAGATGTGGTTCTATTTTTAGCCAGTCAAACCCACCAAGTGATGTCAGTTTTTTTTTTTTTTTTTTTGTCTTCTATGGTGAGGTCACAGAGTATGTATAGAGCAGTTAATTACTGCACACGCAGAACTTCTGCAAAACCCTTT